GGGGCTGCCCAAGGGCTGCTGCGGCGGCGGCGGCGGCGCCGAGCGCCTCGGCCTCGTGGCCGACGGCAAGCTCTTCGTGGGCAGCGCCGGCGCCGAGGCGCTCGCCGTGGGCACCGACCTCCTGGGCGCCACCACCGAGGTGCTCGTCGAGGATTCGGACTCCACCGGACCCTAGCGGGCGGGCGGGCGGACGGGGAGCGCGCGGCTGCTCGCGCACGCCGGACTCCGTGTTGGAGAGGAGAGGGGCAGAGGAGGAAACAAAGCAGAAGGAGAAACTTTCCCGAGGGAGAGCAAAGCTGGAACTCGGAACCGCTAGTCAATAAGCGCGGAGCGCGCTGCCTTCGGGCGCCACATCCCGGCCGGGCATCCCGGGATCCCGCATCCCCCCGGGGCCGGGCGAGGGAGCCCCTGCGGCTCCGTGGGCCTCCCCGCCGCCGTGGCCACGTCTATGCACCGCTCCGGCCGCCTCGCTGCCCTGCCGGCGCTGGGGGTCCCGCTTGGCACTTTAGCCCCCGCCCCCACGCGCCGCTCGGCTCCGCTCCGGCGGGATSGCGGGAACGCCGCGGGCGCCGGAGAGGCCAGGAGGAGCAGCCCGGTTTCACGACGGTAATTTGCACTTTGAACGTGTTTCGGTTTTTGTGTTGTGGTAACGAGATTCCTTATTTATTGACGAAAGGGTCGGTATTTTTTAGTTAGGTTTTTGGGCAAGGGGGGAGAAAGAATAGYGGGGCGATTTGGCCGGTTCCTTGGTGCAGAGGGAAGCGGCCGTCGGAGCCCCCCGGAGCCCCGGGCGAGCCGGGCTCGGCGCCCTGCGCCGGGGCGGCCGCTCGCTCTGCCGCGGGAAGCCTCCGCGGAGCCCCGCGGCCTCGAGTCCCTGCGCGGGTGGGCAGCGGTGCTCGGTAACCGGGGGTTCCTGCTGTTGGTTCTTGGCGATTGCTGGTTTTGCCTTTGGGCCGGCTCGGCGTGGCCGGCAGCCGCGGGMAGCGGCCCGCGAGGCCCGGGCCTGGGCACGGCCGGTGAAACGGGGGCTTCCAGCGAAAACTTTGGGGGTTTAATGGGAAAAAGTGGCCTCTAGGGCCCCCTCCATCCCTGCTGCCGCCTGGGAGCGGGCACCGTTGGGGGCGTCCTCCGCCTGTGCCCGCCTGGCTGCCCTTGGCTGCCRCAGGGCCATGACACTACGAGCCCCTCGGAGGCCGCCCGCTCCCKCCCCGCAGCCTCTTTTCGTTTTCCCCCTTTTCCCGGCCTCCGTCGGTCCTTGGCGCAGAGCCCGGCACGGGAGCGCCCGGCGCTGCCGCCTGCTCCCCCTCTCGCTGTCTCTCCTTCACTCGCATGCCGTTCGCTTCAATAAATTATTGTAGTAGTTTGCAATAAACTCTTTTTGTATTTTTTTTCCTGTATTTTTTTTCCCCCTGGGTTTTAGTTTTGTTTTCCCCAGGAGGAGGAGGAGGAGGAGGGAAAGGGGGACCCCCCCTCCCTGCTCGGTGCCTCTATTGGGGCCGTCCCTTTGGGCTGCAGACCCTTCAGGAGCCCTGGGGCAAGAGCCCGGGTCTGGAATAATAATAATTTAATAATAATAATAATAATGAGGAGGAGGCAAGAAGGGCGCTTCCCGCCCYGTTTTCTGTTGCGCGGCCCCTGCGTGAGCGCAGTGACTGTTGGAGGAGAAGCTGAACACGCCCGCGGGGARGGAACGGGCTGTGCTGCCCCGGCGCGACCCGGC